TTGAATGCTTTTTTTCCTTTTTTCTTTTTTAACAAATTCTATGATAAAACTTAAAAATAAAAAATAAAACTGGAAACTAAAAACTAAAAAAATGAACACGACAAATAAAAAACTAAAAAATGAAATTACACCAAAAATTTGGTGTCTACAGATCGGTGATCGGCACTTCCTTCCGTAAAGCGCTTCGTATGGTGCCATTTGGATCGACTAGTGGTAACATTATTATAGACAAACTCCACTAAGGTCATGTGTTGGCCCCAACTACCCCCAAAATCTAAAATGAAAGTCCTTAACATATCCTCAAGGGTCTGAATGGTTCGCTCAAATTGTCCATCCGTCTGGGGGTGATAAGTGGTACTAAGGTTGAATTTGGTCCCCAAGGTTTCTTGAAACTTTTGCCAAAATCTAGACACGAAACGAGGATCTCTATCTGAAACGATACTTACAGGGACTCCGTGTAGTCTTACAATCTCATGCATATACAACTGAGCCATTTATCCATGGAATACTTCATGTTTACCGGTAAGAAATGGGCCGATTTGGTTAATCAATCGACGATCACCCAAACGGCATCATGTTTTCGTTGTATTCGTGGCAAACCTGAAACGAAGTCCATTGTTACGTTTTTCCACTTCCATTCGGGTATTTCAAGGGGTTGTAACAATCCAAATGATTTTTGATGTTCTGCCTTAACTTGCTAACAGATGAGACAAGTTTGCACGTATTGGGCAAATTTTTTTTTTCATGTTGTCCTACCAATAGGCCCATTTCAGGTCCTGATACATCTTACAACTACCTGGATGGATTGTATATTTCGACTGATGAGTTTCCTCCAAAATTTCCCTTTTTAATACTTCATCCTTGGGTACCACCACTCGATTTCGATACTTCAAAACTCCCTCGGGACTTAAATTGAAATCAGACATTTCTCCCTTTTCCACTTTTTCCCCCACTTTCGTACCATCGAATCTTCCTTCTGGGTCTCTTTAATTCTTTCCAGTAAAGTGGATATCACTTTTATGTTACCAAAAATCACTTTCTTATTGCCAAAATAAGGGTTCCATTCACTAATTGATGTTAACAAGTCCCACTCCTTAATCATTAATCCCGCAACTTGAGCCTTTCGACTTAAGGCATCGGCCACCACGTTAGCTTTTTCCGGATGGTAGTTGATGGTGCAATCGTAGTCCTCCAGAAATTTCATCCATCGCCGCTGCCTCATGTTCAATTCCTTTTGCGAGAAGAGGTATCTAAGGCTCTTATGGTCAGAGTAAATCTCGAAAGTTACCCCGTATAGATAGTGTCTCCACTTCTTCAGAGCAAAAACAACTGCAGCTAACTCTAAGTTGTGGGTTGGGTAGTTCTGCTCATGAGTTTTCAATTTTCTAGAGACAAAAGATATCACATTCTTGTTTTACATCAGCACACACCCCAAACCTTCCCTCGAGGCATCAGTATAAACAGTAAAGCTATCTATTTCGTTAGGTAAAACTAGAATGGGGGTCATGGTTAATCTTCTCTTCAATTCTTGGAAAACTAGCTTCACACCTAATATCCCACACAAAACGACCATTTTTCTTTGTCAGGAGAGTGCAATTATCCTGACAAATGACATAGAACTGCAAGAGTCTTAAGAAGAAGAATCTAAAGATGCAGTTGAAAAGGGAATTGAAGTGCAAAAAATATGACCCCAATATCAAATTGTTCAAGTGAATGAACCCAGTAAACAATCTCCAAATGAGGTGACATCTCCTTCATTCCTTAATCAATATCCTCCTGACTCTTATTCTTTAATTCCTGTTAGTGAGATTGATTTTATTATACCAGAAGATTTTAAATTTCATGATAGAAATAAGTTAAGAGTTACGATGGCAAAACATCTTGAACCAGCAAGAATGCGTGATGGAGGAGTGAGTGAAGAATTAAGACGCTTGTTTACTTGTTTGGTGTCGTCTACTAGTCCATGGAAGACCGTACTTTGTGGGTTCAAAGATTGCTCTATTTACGAAGGATATCAGGACTACATAGAAGATGAAACATTGAAACGAGTTACACGATTTTATCCTCCGTGAATAAACAGGGCAATGTCTAGTCAAAGACATTAAAGAAAGGCGCTACTTGGGAGGCAACCCAATGCTATTTATTTTAGTTTTCTTAGGTTTTTGGAGTTTTTGTTAAGTGTTAGTTGCATTTAGTGATATGTTGCTTTTGGTGGCAAGAAGCTGGCAGTTAGATGTGCCCACGCTAAGTGATCACGTTTAAGGAAGGAAGTTTGAAATTGACGGACAGAAGACTCTCCAGTAGTTAGGCGTGCCCACGCTAGATGGTCACGTTTAGGGGAGGCAATTCTCGTCTGCGATCAGAAGGCTCTATAGTAGTTAGGCGTGCCCATGCCAAGTGGTCATGTCTAAGGAATTCAATTTTCAAAAATTGGTCAGAAAACTCTCTAGTAGTTAGGCATACCCACGCTAGGTGGTCACGCTTAAGGATTTTAATTTCGGATGGTTGGTCAGAAGACTCGAAGGCAATTAGATGTGCCCACGCCTAACACAGGGGTTCCTTTATTCAAAAAAAAAAACCCATGGTTCTTCTTCTTTCTTCTTTTTTTCTTTCTTTTTCTTTCTTCTTCTTTCTTTCTTTCCCTTTTCCCCCCTTTCCCGCTACTGCCTTTGCTCGCTTTGCTGTTCGTCGCTGCTCCATCGCCACCGCACCGAGCACCTCCATAGCCGCTCCAGCCACAGTCTTCATTCAGCCGCCGCCGCTAGCCATCGTTCACCACCGGCGCTCTCCCTCTCCTCAGTTCCTCACTGCCTGCTCTCATCTCTGCTCAAACAAAGGATAAAAGAAAGAACTGACCATTCCCACCTATGCCATAGCTGCTTGAGACTCTCCATTACATGCTCAGGGAAGTTTCGTTGTCCCTTTTGTTTCGTATTATATTCTTTATCTCTTATATTAGGGACAATGTAAGATTTAGGTGTGGAGAGGGAGTAGTATATTGGTATTTTATTGAAAAAGTGTAAGTGTAGGCATTTTTGTTGAAATTTTTTGTTTGACTCTATCGAATTTTGTCCAATTTTTGCCTATTTTTATGCATACTTGTGGTTATTCCTGATAAACGATGGTTAGATGTCTCAAATTTTTCTATTGCTAAGATTTTACACTCTAACGTGTTAAGTATGACATGGTTAAGTTTAGGGGTATCTTTTTGGTGAATATTTGAGATTTTGTGACTTTTACACTTTGTGGTTAATTTTTTTAAGTATTGTAAATATTTGTCTAGCATTTTTTTTATGCAAATTGGTTCAACTATTAATCTTAGTTCTCCATGTTTAAGAAAAGAAGTGGGTTTGTGTAATTGTTAATCCTTATTTATGAATAGTATATGGCTATACTCCACTAGTATCGTTGCCTAGTAACCGAAAATCTTCACCAAAAGTGTCGACTTTCGCGTCAAAAAGCGACGATAGCTATGAGTATGTGGTTTTTAAGCGATGATGGCTGAGTAACCGGGTTCCTTCATTTGGCCAATGTCGGAGTTCACGTCAAAACGTTTAAATGGCTGAAGACTAAGCATTCTCCCTGAAAAAAAAAATCAATCAAGTGTGGGGATATTTTAGAAAAAAAATGTGCTAATAGTGAAAAATGTGAAAAGTGTTTGAATAAATTGTCGGCCCGCTGATCCATGAATTTTAATATTGAGATTTGCTTAATAGTCGAACCATTTGCTTATGGATGCTGGTTGAATATTTTATATTCTTAGATTAATTAGTTATAAATTGGAAGAGTCCTTGATCTTGAAAGCTAACGGGAAAGATATTTCTTACAAATTGCCACTAATACTTGACATGTGTTTTAATTGTATCTTGGCAATAGAAAATTTGAGCAATAGCCATTGTTTGATTTGTTGTTCTCATACTTGAGGATAAGCATGATTTAGGTGTGAGGGAAATTGATAGGTTGCATTTTTGTCATTAATTCTATGATTATTTTTCTCTTTTATTTTACCAAATATTGTATTAATTGATAGATTCTACTTATATTTGGTATTTGGTACTAATTATAGGAAGGTGGAGCAAAAAGAGATAAAATATGTGATTTTTCAAGAGTTTTCCAATTCAAAATGGAATCTACGTGGATTATTGGCGGAAGATTAGGAGGAAGTCTATTTGGTTTCAAAAAGCTAAAAATTAGGAAAATGATAGGATAGCCGGCCCGTGTGATTAATACTCAAAAGAGTCAGCAATTACCAGGACTGGAAACTTGGTTTTCATTTGACTAGTAGTTGTTTCCTTAAACAATTCCTGAGTTTTCGAAATTAGTGGCGGCAGACTAGTAGTTAATAGGTCACTTAGGTTTTCCTTTCTTTTAGAGGGAAGAACTGTGACTCGTGGGAGAGGACAGCCGCTTGGCCCCTCAATTCGCCTTGCTTTCATTAGTTTTAGAGAAAAATCAATTGTAGCCAGGCTCCATGGAGGCTGGCAGAATTTCTTCTAGGATGAGCCACTAATCTTCTTTTCTAGTCAAGGGGACAACTAAAGATTTGGTTCGACAAATACTGTGAGATCTAAATTATGTTAATTGCTTCCTCCATGTCACTACAAAAAATTATTTCTTTCGTGACAAATTTTTCATGACAAGAAAGCTTTTCGTTAGGAAAACCATACTTTTTATGACAACCCGTCAAGCAAATATCCTTCAAAAGGTGCTGCTACTTTAAACGTGTTTTTCTATTTATTTCATTGTCTAAAATTACTTTCCCCACATCAATTTGTCAGGAAAAGTTTTCATTCTCCCTCCATTTTTTTCCCACCAATTTTTTTCCCCTCTTGGACCGAAAAGGAATTTAGAAGGACATCTTGTCCTTATGACATAGACACCGGGAAATTCAAGAAGCACTTTTCCCAAATCTCTACTTTTGGAACAACAACAACAACAAAGTACACTTTCTCCAAATCTTCAGCTTGTCTTCATCTCCAACAACAGAGAACACCAACGAACTCCTCCGAACTTGTCTTCATCTCTTTCAACAAGAGAGACAACACGATGGTCTAAGGTGATGTAAAAATCAAATAATCCTTCAATTTTGTCTTGAATCAGCTCCCTTTCTCCGAATCCCCCTTCAATTTTGTCCTTAATTGACTGTGAAATGACGGTCCTACAGATCATCAGTTCAAGTTCGGTGTCAAATATTTTCTCTGCATAAAAATTGACTCATTTGTGATCTAAGTTTTCAGAAATTGTTTTGGAGAACCTCATTTGGCCCCTTAAAGTTTCAAATTTGATTATTTTCATTATTTTGGTTGAGAATGAGGAATTTAGTGCAAATTTGATAGGCTCCCATCTCCCTGATGTTCACAAAGGAACGGTTCTTGGAAAACTTGTTCTTGCGTGTGAAGAGTTGAGAATTCTGCACATGTACATATAAAATTGATTTGCCAGTTCGTTTTTGGCAGAATGGTGCAGCAGTCTGGTGCATCAGCTTTCGGAAAATTCAGGGTCAAGGATTGACTATTCTTGGAGGTGAGTCCTTGACAGGTTCAGTTCCCATTGGGCAGATATGACTTGTAAATTGCAAAATGAAATATTACTATATGAGCAAAATGGGTCCTATATTTTGGATTAACTCCAGAGTAGATCCAAACTTATGGTGCAATGTTCACATCTAGGTGTGCTAGACGCTTGTCTTGTGTCGAACATTTTTCCTGATTTATCCTTGTTATTTGTCTTTCAGTTTTTTGTCATACATGTGATGGGCAACCGGCTTTCAACAATTTTATCTACTACAATTTTCTTTGATTTTTCAATGTCTGAAACCTTGTTAAGGATTCATCTCTGATTGATCATTTAGTATGAGCCTTCAATGTGATGGCAGAGATACATGTTCAGTGTTTCTGGTTTGTCCTCTTGTTTTGTCATGAAAGTGTCTGAATGAAACTGGAATTTGTTTCCTATTTTTCTTCGTTATTTGTTTCCTTTCATGCAGACCTTGTTCTGAAAGACAAGATTGTTGTTTATGATTTGGCTGGCCAAAGGATTGGATGGGCTAACTATGACTGTAAGTTCCCATATCAAGAGCATTTTCCAGCCGTTGGCTTGATTTTTACAGTGCCTTCTATTCATCATTTATCTGATTGGATTAAAAGGGGAAACTTGGATTAAAAGTGAAATTGTTTTCTCTGATACAGATACACTTGAAATTCAGTTTTTAGTTCAAGATTCGCAGAATTTGGGGTTATGTATGACATCTGTTTATACATGTACAAACACGAAAATGGGCCAAATGGGAGAGGAAAAAGTGGTGTTGCCGGAAGGGAAGAGTAGGTGCGGTGCGGTATCAAGTGGGGAAGGTAGTGGAATTTTGAGAGGTTTGGGTTTTAATATGGGAATAGTCACATTGACAGATTGGCACAGGTCTAATTTAATATAGGACGTGGGAGCAATTCACGCAATAATGCGACACAGTCAAGTGTATTTTAGATATTTTGGCTAAGGGCCCCTACTTATAAATTTGGAGCTGATCTCATGGATAAATATTTATGGTGAAGTTGGCTAGTTTGATATTATGTCATGGGGAGCATTAAAAATTTGTACCAGACGAAAAATGCATCAGCAACTAGCCTATATTGTTAGGGGCTTTTATCTATTGGTTTGGGTATTTGGAGTCTATGGTGAAAATGGACCATCTGGTTTTAGAGGTTTGGTTGGAATGGGAGCTTTTGGTTCTTTTTGTTAAGAGGATGGCTATACATCCATCGTGTCCAACTAAATCCATGCAAGAAATGTAGGAAGTAACATAAAAAAAAAAACAGTTTCACAATCATTAGCTCTTTCTGGTTTTCTGAAGTACTATAATATCCTTGCAAGTTTTATACCATAGGTTTTTTATGCCAGTTTTCAGTTAGCATTAGTAGGCAGGAAAAAGAAGGGAAACGTAAAGAAGTGCAGCACTTGTAAATTCTTTATCTAGTGTGACAACTTGATTATTACTCCTATTGGACAAAAAGTGATAGAATGTGACTGAACCACTATTGTTTGTCTTCCTTGCTATAGTTCCTGATCCATAACTTGACATGTTCCAAAAAAAACTAGCCCGCCATCAATTACTGAACCTAAGTAACCTAGCTAGCTAGTTGGAATGGATCTTTGAATGTTCTAAGTTTCAGAAGAAATCTTGATGATTTAATGTGGATCCTTATCCAAAGTCAATCCTGTTCACAATAAAATAGTTTTCAGTCTACCTTAGCAGAGAAATATCTAATTTCGCATTTCTTCATATTCAGCAGAACAGACCTGCATTCTCACTACCTTGATAGAGAAGATAAAGATCAACCAGAGAAAAGATTGCATAATTTGAGGTATGTGGTTATTTGGTAGCTTACCATAAAGAATGAAAAGTGTTTATCATGACTGCTAGTTTCTTGCAAATTATGTTATGGTTTACATCCTTATTTGTGTAAATCAAGTTATGGGTTATGATGTTTAATGTTTTCTATATACTATACAAGAGCATATACTTTGTTATAATTTGACATCAAAATTTTACTAATTTGACTCCTTTTTTATCATATACTTTGTTATTGCAGATGGCACCTTCCGGGAAACGGTTGAAGAGAAACTGCCCACCCAATACCAACTTGCAATCTGAACAACCACCAACTTCAAACTCAACTTTGGAGCATCAATCAGCTACCACAGGTGATGATATCCAGATTAATTCAAATAATAGTAATCCTACTCAAGCATTGGCGAATGGTAAGTGAAAATGCTGAATAATGATTTACTTATTACCATTCAATGTATGCATCCTTTTTGTGATAATTCATAATAAGCATCAACTAGAATGTTTAACATTTGTTCTCAGAACAAAGAAAGCAAAAAAAAGGCAGGGGCCCAACCACGGGAAAAGTTATCGAGAAGATGATACGAGCTAATGTAAATGCCATTCAGTACTAAGATGTGTACATATATAATATTACTGTCTATTCAAGATTTTTTTTTTATAATCAGTTTCCTAGAATTTCAATTGGGGTATACCTGAATGATGCTTCATTTGTTAATATTAGGGAGGCAAGCCATTGGAAATTGTCTTTCCTGAAGGATGTTGCAAACCAATCAAGTATGCTGCTCAACTTGCTAGTGGTATAGGTTATGTTGTAAGGCACCTCTCTTCACTGAAGGACATACGCACATATGATGACATACCAAATGAGAAAAAACAGAACCTATATGGTGGCTTGATGGTACCAGATTACACCGTTGTCTTTTATAATGACATTTAGTGTGTTAATATTTATTTTGCTGACTTGACCAATTCTAAAAATGATCTATTTCTTAATGGTAATTTATAGGGATGGTTTGACTTCAAAGATTGGGAAACTGATCCTAATGTGGAAAAGTATGTGGATGACATGCTTCAGAATAGCTATAGGCAGTGGAGGAATACTATGCACATAGATTATAAGATGTTGAAGGCAACTGGAAAAGATCCACTTACCTCATGTCCTTATGACTGGATTGAGCAAGATGAGTGGAAAAGTATGTGTGATTGGTTCAAAGATCCTATATTCAAGGTGATTGGTTCTAGTTTTGTTTACTTGCATGATCTTAATTCTTTTGTTGCCTTTTATGTTTTGTCTAACTATCTTTTTGGTATTTAATAGAAAAAATCAGAAGCCAATACAAAGAACCGTGCCATGTTACCCTATCCGCACACTGGCGGTTCAAAATCAAATCATGTTCGAGCACAAGAGATGGTATATTACTGATTTTTTATTTCCATTTTGGCTTATATTTATACTAGGAAGAAAACTAGAGCTAACTCGTGATCTTTTATGCTATAAAATAGGTTCCACCAAGTGCAATTGATGCCTGGACTGCTGCTCACATAAAAAAGGATGGCCAATTTGTGAATAATGCTGCAAAATCTCTCGATGTAATTTTCACTATAGTCGGCTGATTCTAGTAACTTTGTTTTTTATTAGTAACAGGACATTTACATATATATTATACATTTAATGACTCTTTGAGTTATGTGAATCTAATATGTACAGGATGAGTTAAAAGAAGAGAGAAGGCAATGCATCGAGAATGGAGAAATTGTCAATGAAGTTAAAATTATGGAAAATGTCCTAGGAAAGAGGGCTGGTCGTGCCAAAGGGTTGGGTATGGGGGTCATACCACCCCAATCTTCTCGCAAACCCGAATCTTCAGCTAATAGAGCACTATTTGAAGAACTAAAACAGTGCAAGGAGAAGATTCAATGCTATGAGGAGCGAATTCAAGCACAAGATACCCAAATCCAAAATCTTGTACAAAGCCAGCAAGGGATACAGGAAATGCTGCAAGAATTCCTCGTTTGGAAACAGAAGCAGTGTGGAGGTTCTTCCTAGTAATGGTGAGTTTGTAGATCTTTATTCGAAACAAATATATTTATGTGCAGTTACTTACTATTGTGGAACAACTTGGTTACTTCAGCATAGTAATTATTCTTGTATTGCTTGTCCTCATGATTAGGTGGTCCTTAAGCAATTTGTAGTGATCATCCATGCATCATAACAAAAATACATCTTTTCCATGCCATTCTATTGTTTCTCTGATTTCAGATTTTTCTTGGTTTTATTGTACAGGTTTGGGATGAACGTTTGGGACTGCTTTTGGCTTTTGGCTTTTGAGTTTGGGATAAACTCAACATTATGGACTGCTTTTGGCTTTTGGACTGCTTTTAGCTCATACTGAAGAATTCCTCTATTTTGATATCATCCATCTCTAGTATGTTGTTGACCATGGAATTGAAGTCCATCTTTTGATTTTAGCACATGTTAGGTATATGGCAGTTATCTAGGGAGAAATAGCAATATTTATATTGGTTTCAAATCATGAAATGTAATGATATGTCAATGTTTGACATGGTTAACTTTTGTGGTTTGACATATTATGGTTGCCTACTAATGAAATTTGTGAAGTTTTGGTTGATATTTTGCTTGCATACTTTTATATTTTGATTGGGTGGAGTGTTTTAGTAGATGATATTATTACTTTGTTGTCACTAAAATTGCTAGGCTTAAAAATGCTAAATGGTGAAATTAGAAACTAATATATTATAGTGATGCAGCTGTCGTCAGGAAAAATAACATTGAATTGTCATTAAAGTACGTCCAGCAAGTTTCAATGCATGACTTTTCTTGACAATCGAAAATTTAGTGACAAAGTTCAGGGTCTTTCCTGACAAAGGTTCGTCAAGAATATGAGGTCTTTTCCTGACGACCGAATCGTCACGATTACCTTTCTTGATGACACGTCACAGAAAATGGAACTTTTCCTGACGAGAATTCCACTAGTTGTCAGGAAAACCTTTTGCCGACGGCGTATAGGTGACCAATCTTCTCTGACGACATTAGCGTCACGAAAACTTTTCCCGACGATATACGCAACTTTTCTTGACAAAGATTGTTGTCACTAGAAATATTTTTTTTTGTAGTGTGTATTGGTATTTATATGTTTTCTGCTTTTAATTGTTATAACTTTTGTGTATGATTGAATAGTGCATAATTTTTAATTATTCACATAGGCTATTTTGCTAATTAGAGATAGTTAGATCCGTAATTATTCGATTACCTCTGTCCCGGTAGTAACTGGCATAATTGGGTTTATGTCAGAGAAACATACGATCTAGTTTAAACAAACTCTCATAGTGTGTTTGTTAGTTAGGATTGGCTTTTTCTAAACCTTAATGCAATCTAGAAATTAAATCCTACGGTCGTACTTAGGATTGTTTTCGAGTTAGAGAAATAGTCAACGGTCGTACCTTGACTATCGATAAATTAAGGAAAGATTGGTTGTTTATCGCGTGCATGATAGCTATAACCAATCTATTAATAAATGTTGGAATTATTTGTGAATCGATGATCAGTGAATGAACTATTTCTGAAGTGTACCCTTGGTTAGAGTTTTTCCATTTATTTCTGTGAATTCATTATTTTTTCGCATTTGATTTATTTAGTTCATTAGCATTTAATCCCAAACCCCCCATTTATCTTGACTCGAAAGGAAATAAATTTCTCCCCAGTCCCTGAGGAGACGACCCTGCTTGCCACTGTCTACTAGTTAGTGAATTTAGTCAGATAATTAATTCGGGTATATCGGA